CCCCAGAGCATCCACGGAGTTGGCACCTGTGGTAGAACAAATCAATCTGTTTTTATCAAATGAAAAAAATGCAACCAGTAAATAGTTCCCATCTAGGACAGTATGCTGAAATAAATCCATAGACAAAAGCGCTACTGGCAAAGCTCCAGAAACACAAGACTGAGTACAACTTGCTACCAATACAGACAGCAAGATAGTATTATAAAGAGAGACTTTAACAGAGATAGTAATAGTGATTTATAAAAGGAATAAGATACCACAACAACTAACAGTATAGTGGGTAGTCTTGGAAATGAATGGCAAGGAAAAGGAACATTGGGTTCAGTACAGAGACTGGTTAATAATGAAACTGAACTAGGATCTTGGCATTGGTGTAGCAGACACAGAAAATTCCATGACTGCCCACTTAGAATCACAGAGAACTTGTGAGCCTAGCTAATTCTGCCAATAGGTCTTAGTGACCCTGAAGGTTAAAATCTAATATTGAAATACAACAAGAAATATTTCCAAATGAGTTGCTGTATCATTGGTAGAGAAAAAACAAACAAGTTTATGTAGAGGGCTTCAGTCCAGTCCAAATAACAGCCAGACTTTAAAAGTCAGCTTGTGAAGTAGAGTCTTACTGAAATGGACTTTGCAGAAGGAAAAAAAATATCTGTAGCACATCTGGCAAGTGTGTGAAGTCATGACATCACCACCAGAAGTCTGGCATATACATCACCACCTACTTGTTGTCCTACTTTTTGTCTTGTTCAATTTCTAGTTCAAATTTATCCTTTGCTAGAAAAACTAAAGTGGAACAGATTCAGAACACCCTCACAGATTTTCATCCGTATGTTAAAACTAGTACTTGCCCATACAAGAATTGTAGTGGATCTATACAATTAACATACCTGAGAAAGCAGTAGGTAAAGGTTTCTATCACTTTGCAGGAATCCCTTTTAAGATTTAAGTCCTCTTATTTCTAATGAAAAGGAAGAATTACTCTGACTACTTTAGATTACAAACAATACTAAAGGCCTTTAAGATGTGTTCAGCACGTGCAAACCTAAATAAAGCTGATCTGTAAGCAGTCTCTTCTTTCCACCTTCCATCTCCATTGTTTGCACTATTGCGCATTGTTCCACAGCTAAACTTAGGCCCCGATGATGCAAGGAGCTCTGTACCCACAGATCCCACACATGAGTTGATCCTACTGACTTCAATAGAGCTCCTTGCTAGGGTACATAGTTTATACAGAGCTCCTTAAAGGATCATCTTTAGGTATGTCAGCAATTTGGACAGGTGTTTTGTATAGCTCGCCTGGCACCGTGTATTAGCAGAATTTTTCAGCAAGACACTAAACTTTGGACTGTTGAAACAGGTAGGCACACAAAGTTTGTTTCATTTTTGGAAATAAGATTGCTTAGAAAAATAATGTAATCTGGTAATCAGTGACCATTTGAGGAAATGTAAGTTAATTTACTCAGCAGAAAATACTACAGTTAAGTTTGAAGCAGTTTTTGCAATAACGTATACCTGTTAACTTTAAAAGATGCCTTTGCAGGCACAGAACTTTGTTCTGTCCAAAATGGACAAAATCTTTGAGCAAACTCCCACTAGTCAAGGGTGGCTGAAAACAGTTAGAATTCTACTCCAAAGACAGATAGCTGTAGTAGACCACGACTCTTGAAACCAGGCTCCCAAAAGGAGTCTTCCATGTTCAAGTCTGAGCAGCTTGCTCCAGTAGAAGGTACTGCACACTATCTTGAAGTAAAGACATAGTGCCACTGATATTCAATTCTTTTCCAGTAAGAAGCTGGAAATGCATTTCCCCATTGTATGTATAGTTTAAAGAGATTTAGAACCAACGACCGAAGGGATGTGAGTAAGTGATACACCACAGCTAAATATATGTTGACCAAAAATGGCTATAGGTAAATAGTCTCCTCCTGAAAGAAATTCGGAGAGAAATCTCTACTCGTAGACTAGAAAGTTCCAGGGATCAGTCTACAGTTAAGTAGCGTCACAAAACTATCAAAAAACAAACAAACAGTTTGCAGTTGAAAGGGATCAATGTTTACTTTTTCAAGGTGCATAAGTCTTGTTTTTAAAATAGAGGAATAACAAAAATAATATAGAAACCACAAGAGCTGACTTTTATTTTTCCCGGGGGTGCTCCACCCCCACTCCACCCGTTCCCCCAAGGCCCTGCCCTCACTCCACCTCTTCCTGCCCCTCTGCCCCCTCCCACAAAGCCCCCCGCCTACTGCTCTCCACCCTGCCCCGAGTGCCTCCCACCAGCTGCCACACAGCAGATCAGTGGCCAGCACGGAGTCTGCCGAACAGCTGTGGATTGTGGGTGCTGAGCACCCTCTTTTTTTATTCCATGGGTGCTTGAGCCCCAAAGCACCCACGGAGTCAGCGCCTATGATAGAAACTTAAGAGAAACCATTCAGAAATAAACCATTCAGAAATAAACTAGGGTACTGGATTGTTGGATTCCCCTGCCCTAGGTACTGGTTCTCCAACACCAACAAATGAAGCCTTAAACTTGTCAAGACAAAAAGTAAGTGTACATGGAACTCATTGGTGTTCTACAAGTCTCCTGACCAGAAGCAGACCAGATATTGGCTGCAGAAGCAGGCATTCCTTCTGATTAGATAAGCAGTGACATTGCAGCCTACTAAGCTGTAGCAAAAAGAAATGCAAGTAGTCATTTAAACATTGTTTTCTTGTATACAAAGCCCAGCCCACTGAGCACTGATTTCAGAAGAAAAATTCCAAGTGGATCTCCTGGAGATAGGCATGTGAACCAAGTAAAATAAAAGAGAGAGTTCTATAACCTTTGAAGAAATTCAAAGATGTCTCCATATCTCTGAGGAATTTTGTTTAAATTGTCACTATGGTAAACAGCAGCAGTCACCACCACCAGAAAGCATCCATGTGAAAGATGTGAGTTCACAAGAAGAGGGGGGACCCTCCCATTAGTCTGTAAGGATTACAATGCTCGTAAGACAGGGCTTTAATGCTTCAAATCCTGCAAAAACCCAGGTATTGATGAGAAACTGGTCTACCTTAAATAGGTCAAAAAACAAAATAGCTGCCAAATATACCTTTTGTGTGTGTGTGTGTGTGGGGGGGTCTTATATACTCTATTACAAGAGAAAGACAAGCAGTTTGCTTGTAAATGGATAGAGAATATTCTTGCAGAACACAGCCTGCTGTACAGTGCCCGGAAACTCATGCCAAGCATCTTGACAGAATTTTCACCCCTGATTACAAGCAAGCTTCACAAGCTTTGTTCTCTAGAGACATAAGCAGAAAGAGGAACCCTAGGCTTCTAGACAGAAGTGCCCTGATTCTGGAGTGATATGGGCAAAACTCAGTTCACTAACACAACATCCCACAGAGAGCCGCAAGATTCGAATGTGCCTCCAGGTGAAGGCTCACAGCCAAATGTGTCTGGCCGCAGCTTATCTCACTGTCACATCAAAAAGACAGCATTAGTTGGTGCTAGGCTGTCTCCATATAGAGAAAGCTCCTAAAAGTAACCAGTCTCTTCTAGGACAGAAGAGGCATACGCAGGACTTCTTCCACAACTTTATGTTCTCACAAAAATGAAAGCTCTCAGAACAGCATTGCAGATAGGTTTTGTTAAAGGCAAATCCAGAACTATGCAATCAGGTGATGTTGAACTGTGTCCAGAACAGTCTTGCCCCAGCTATAGAAGCCTCCACCACCAAATATCACAAAAAACTTCAAGAAGCCAGTATTAAGAGCTTGGGTCCCAGAGTTTATCAGTCTGTGTCTTGACAGTATGCAGAAATTGTTGCATGTTCTTTGCTGACTGGAAGATGATTGGTACTTGCATCTGAACTACAAGAGAAGTCATCTCCAGGTTCTTCAAAAATACCCCACTGTAGTACTGGATGGTTTCTTAACTAGAATGGCCACAGCATTCTCTAGGGAGGATGTGAAAAATCCATTCCTCCTCTACCGTAGCACAAATTCATTTGGCATCCAGAGAGTTTCCCCAACTCCTGGTGTCCAGGTGGTACTCTCTGATGTCCTGCTCACCATCCACTTCTTCCCCAACAGGCACAGAATGAGCTGAATTTATGCAGGAATACTGACCATCAGAGCAGAGCTGAGCCGGTGTTAATTCATGGATTTAATGCAAAGGGAATGCATAGTTGTTCTACACTCCAACAAGGTGGTATATTAAGGCACTTAAGGCTAAGTCAGAACTAGGTATTATTACTATTACTATAATTATTTAAAGGTGCTGGATACCTTGACAAAAATGGTCTATCCTAATTTGTACAAGACTTTCTACTTGAATACCATTTATACCAGTTTAAGGTAGCGTTTGAATAGGTATCTGAGGATACCAAGAAAAAGTTTGGGTTCTTAAACCCTGGACTCATTCTCACAAAAACATGACCAATTCATTGTTTGTAAATGGGGAAAGCGTTTGAAGAGGAAAGTTTGCTCCAGAACAACAATGGAGAGAGAGAAATATTCAGTATGAGTAAATAAGGACTACAAAAAAATATTTGAGAGCTGAGAAATTCCCAAATCGCAACACTTTTAGATCAAACTGGGCTATGCAAGTTTAAGATTGACTTTTTTTTTAAAGTTGCCAACAGCAAGAAGAGATTAGTATACCACACCAAACTGAAGATATAGTCTATAGCTATTAAGAAAGAAAGCTGAAGCAACATGGCTAAGAAGTCAAGCACAGTAAATTTCTACAAGATTAAGACCTCAGCCATTGTTAAGAGGCAACAAAAGGAACTGACAGATGGAAGCACTATGGAGCACCATAGTTATTCCATCATGCTAAAATGCCAATCCAACTGGGGACCCAAGGTGCAATAGTAATAATGTTATAACTGTATCATGTACCTCTGCAAACAGATTTTTTAAAAGTTAAACTTTGCTCAGTCAACATGGACAGTTGGCGACCTGCAAGATTGCTTTTCACTGCTTGGTTTAAATGGCAAGAATACACTTACTGGTTTTTCAAGTACAATAGGATGATCAGGAAGAAATTCCGGCTTCTTTTGAGAGAGTGAAACACTTGAAAGCTTTAAGAGGAAATCCCTGCTGTATTTAATTCTTTCTGCAAACACAGGATTATACACAAACAGATTACTATAAAGTTATTTGTTAAACAGTGATGTTTGCAAAGCAGCTTAAATGCTGGCATTTCCCAATTTTTGAGTGCTTGACTTTTCTAAGGTTTCAGAGTAGCAGCCATGTTAGCCTGTATCCACAAAAAGAAAAGGAGTACTTGTGGCACCTTAGAGACTAATGAATTTATTTGAGATAAGCTTTCGTGAGCTACAGCCAAGTGATGCATCCGATGAAGTGAGCTGTAGCTCACGAAAGCTTATGCTCAAATAAATTCTTTAGTCTCTAAGGTGCCACAAGTCCTCCTTTTCTTTTGATTTTTCTAAGAGTTTTGTGTGTGAAAAGAGTGCACTTTATGTTGTACATGCACACACACCTACTCTTAAAAGAGCGGGTTTGGAAGGACTAGCTGCTTCAGGTCATTACTAGTGAACTACAAAGTATTTCATGTATAGATCACCAGTTTTAATCCAATACCGCTCAGGAGAGATTGAAGTTACTGCTAAAAATGGATGTTTCAGGGTTCCTATACAAAATGAATTTGGTGGATCTCAGTTCCAGATCTTACACCACAAACTCCCCTCCCATAATTTGCACTAACTAGCATACTGTGCAGAGACACACAGAACTAGCCATGGAGACTGATCTACCTGTTAATGCTAAGGGAAATTCCTCCAGATCAGTGTTAAGACATGCTCTCAAGGCAGTATGTGTAGTAAGCCTGCCCTGCAGTTAAACTGAGGACTACATTCACCAGGGCAACCAAGCTGATGCCTTAAACCACCATGAATTTAAGAAATGAACTTACATTCAACCTTGCAAACACATAAGTGTAATGAGGTAGTTCACATGAGTGTAATGCATGCAGCTGCACAAATATTGATAGCTACGCTTGGGGCTTGTCTAACTGGGATTTTGTTTTGTACTGTTATGGCTACACTAATGTAGCCTCATTGGTGCAAACTTACCACATCTGTGCTCGTCAGCTATGGCACCAATTCAGCTATATGAATATAGCTATACCATACAAACCTTTAAATCCAAACAAGCCTCCCAATGGAGTTTTCCTGTAGTTATGGCAAGGTCAGATGACACTACCAGAGTTTTAAGTTTACTGTACTACTTCTACATCAAACTAGCAAGGTTCCAAAAGCCTGGCTCCCTCACATAGCCAAATCCACATATGGGAGGAAAGCATCACCTCTAAGCAATGACTGATATCTGGAACAAGCATATATACCTTTTCAGAGTTCATATTTTCCCTTTTACCTTGGAAGCAGATAATTCAAACATTGATCTACATATAAACAAATATTCCTGAGGGCATTCTGCACCAAAAAGTTAAAAATTCTGCACACAATATTTTAAATTCTGCAAATTTTGTCAAATAAATGTGGAGGCTCCAGCATAGCATTGGGGAGCACAGGCCGCTGGCTGAACAGAGGTAGGAGATCACTGTGCAGTTCCCCCCGGGACACAGACTCAGTGGTGAGGCTGCACCCAACCCTGACATAGCCTAAGGACTGTGCCTGCTCCAATAACACCCCAGGGCCCTGCCCCTCCATGCCAGGTGCACCAGGTGTGGGCAGGCAGGCTCAGCAAGGTACGATCCAAGTGTGGAGGGGCTTAGTGTGGGGGGGATCCAGGTGTGGGTTGAGAGGGTTCTGTGGGGGGCAATCTGGGTGTGGGCGACTCAGTGGGGAATCTGGATGCACAGGGGCTCGTTAGGGGCTTCTGGGTGCAATGATAATGGGACTCTGCAGAGGGGTCCAGGTGAAGGTGGTTGGAGCTCAGTGGGGTGGGGATCATCAGGGGCGGGGTGTTCTGAGTGTGTGTGGGGGGTAAGGCTCGACAGAAGGGTCTGGGTATGAGGGCACCTGGATGCACGGGGGTTGGGCAGATGTGGGAGCAGCTCCCTGTACAGGGATCCCTCCCCCTGCAGCTGAGGAGTGATGGGCAAAGGAAGCAGCGGGAGGGAGATTTTGCAGAGCTTCCTGCAGCTGGGTCTGACCCAGCCCCAGATGCCGTGCAGGGGATGTCATCCTCCTGAACGCACCTGAGACTAGCAGCCGTGCCTGGTGCAGGGTAGGAGCCAACAGCTGGGTCTTCAGTCCCACCCCCTGCCCCACAGTGATTTACCTCTCTGTCAGCTGCCCTGGGCACCCAAAACATACAGCTGGAGAAGGTCGTATGACCGCTTGTGGCTTCCCTTTGCTTCCCCATCAAAGTCATTTTTCTGCAGGGACGCAAAGAAATCTGCGGTGGACATAAATTCCGTTCATGGGCAGTGGCGCAGAATTCCCACAAGAGTAAAACAAAGCTTACCTTTCTTGGTTTTAGACTCCTGCCACTCTGGCTGACTAGGGATCACGGTTTGATTTAAAGTCTGCATTCCAGTAGCCTCATACCACTAAAACAAGGAAAGAAGAACATGCAATTTATTCAAATTTCATAAGCGTGTCCAAAAATGCATCATCAGATGCTGGAATCTCCTTCTGACAAACTGAAACGATCAGCAAAAAAAAAAAAAAAAAAAGCAAAGTTATATTGTTTCAAGTAAATCTGCAGTGATTAGTTTTGATACAATAATCAAGTTTGCTTTAAGGTACGAAAGTCATGGACAATCCACAGCACTGTCTAATTCTGGAATTTGTTCCCTTGTCAGTAAGGTAGGTTTTGGGGAGATGGGTTCTTCCCTCTAGGGTACACTCCCGGCTAGTGTAACCCACACACCTCCTGGGTGTGGCATTCTGTCCCATCTAGTGGCAGAGAGAGAAAGAAAATGAGTCTGCTTTACAGCAGTAGAGGCTCATGCACTAAGCTCCAGAGGCCCCAAGTTCGATCCCGCCTGACAACTAGTGTCTGTCAGCATTACAAGTGGAGGCTCGTCAGGGATTTCTACTGGGAAGTCTCTGAAGCTCAGGAGGCACTTCCTCAGCTAGGGGAAGTATGTAACCCACACACCTCCTGGGTGTGGTGTTCTGTCCCATCTAGTGTCACTGAGATCAGAGAGAGAGATGAAATTACTCTGCTCTACAGCCTAAGCTAGGAGTCAGCTGGCTTTTAGCTCATGCTGTAGAGGCTCATGTACTAAGCTCTAGAGGTCCCAGGTTCAATCCTGGCCGCTAACGACTGGGGTCTGTCAGCATTACCCTCGTTCTTCACAGCCAAGACATAGGGCCGCCCTTACCCTTACGCAAAGTATGCGGCTGTGTAGGGCACCAGGAAATTTAGGGCACCAAATTGCCCCAGATTTCCTGGTACACTACGCAGCTGCATGCTGCTCCAGAGGTCAGCCCAATCCCCTGGCTGGCTGAGCCGCCCAGGAAAGATGCCCCCACCCCTGCTCCACCTTTTCCCGCCCCTGGTCCACCCCAGCCCCGCCCCCACTCCACCCCTTCCCCGAGCAATAGGGGACTGCAGCAGGGGTCAGGCGCGCACTGCACTCTTGGGGCAGCAGGAAGTGGAGTGACCCTGCCCCAACCCACATTGCTCCGCCAGCTTGTGCAAGTGGGGCAGTTTCCCCTCTGCCCCCCAAGCCTGCTCCTGCCCCCCCATGGAGCCCCTCCCCAACACACACAGCGGGGCTGCATAGGGCACCAAAATGTCTAGGGACAGCCCTGCCAGCACATTTAAAAGAAAATTGGCTTCTTCTATCATTTTTTAACTCAGTTTCAGTCAGTGACACCTATGCAGGCCTCATGAAGATACTATAGACACAGTTTGAAAGACAGCATTGCACAGATGAAACGGAGGCAGTGTCTACTCTGGCCTATAATTCACAACTGGCACAGCTCCACCATTGCTGCCAGTAGTGGAAGCTATAGCATAGACATAAGCAGGAGCTGAGCAGGAGCTGCACTGCTGGAGAAGTACAGCTATGAAGTAGACTAGGCTCAAGAGCCTGCAGAACTTTTACTACTAGCGTTAGTGAATATACGCAATAACTAGGGCCCTACCAAATTCACAGTCCACAGTCCATAGAAAAAAAATAAAATAAAAACAAATAATAAAAAAATCAATGTCACGATTTCAGCCATTTAAATCTGAAAGTTCACAGTGTTGCAATCGTCCTGACCCAAAAAGGAGTTGTGGGTGGGTTTGCAAAGTAACTGTAGGTGGGGTTGTGGTACTACTGCCCTTACTTCAGTGCCACCACCAGCAGTAGCACAGTCTTCAAGGCTGGGTAGCCAGAGAGCGGTGGCTGCTGGCCGGAAGCCCAGTTGTGAAGGCAGAGCTGCCAGCAGCACAGAAGTAAGGATGGCATGGTATGGTATTGCCATCCTTACTTCTGCATGGCTGCTGGCGGGGCGCTGCCTTCAGAGCTGGCCAACAGTAGCCGTTCTCTGACTGCCCAGCTTTGAAGGCAGTGCAGAAGTAAGGGTGACAATACCGTGACACCCCTCCCCCAATAACTTGCAACCCCCCTGCAACTCCCTTTTGGGTCAGGACCCCCAACTTGAGAAACACTGGTCTCCCCCGTTAAATCTGTATAGTATAGGGTAAAAGCAGACAAAACACCACATTTCACGGGGAGACATCAGATTTCACAGTCCATGATGTGTTTTTCATGGCCGTGAATTTGGTAGGGCCCTAACAATAACATAAACCAGCTTTATTGTGCTTCCACACTGGAATTTACAGAACTAGAAGTTAGAAGAAACATATCCTTGGAAACTGAGCACATTTGAGACAGCAATCTTTTAAACACAAAGATGGAACCCTCTCGTGCCATTTTAGAATTACTTTTCAGGTAAGAACCACAATTAGCAACATTTTTCAGCAGCTAAGCAGTGTTATTTCTGCAGGGTGGAAGGTAGGGAAAAAAAGAGGAGAGAAGGAAAGTTTTTTTTTCCTAACGGGGAGGATGGAAAGTCTTATGTTTAAATCTAAACTGCTGAGACATGGACTTAAGTCTTCCCTTCTAGCAAGGATCTCTGTAACCAGAATACCAACCCCAGAACTTAACAGTCTAAACCTGGGCATCTCTAGCTGCAACATCCTTGGAATGCATGTGTGTAGGAGACTACCCCACCCTCCAATAAGTTGCTGGATCTCAGCCCCCTCTCCCCGCCCCGCAGTGGCTTTGCAATTTGGCTGAGGGCCTTTTGCTTCATTCTGAGTGGAGTTTGCGAAGAACAGTCAATACTTTTGTTTTGCATCCGCCTTTACTTTAGAAGGCACACTGCTGCTACCTGTACAGTCTTCTGCCTTATTATGGTGACAGTCTGACCCTGCTACAGAGTTGCAGTAGCCTAGCCTGAAGAAGACTAGTGTAGTTCAGACCACCTGGATCAGTAAGACAAGGTGGTCCTCTTTCCTGGTCAGCTGGAAATGGAAGCCACCTTCCTTGTACTGAACCTGTCTGCATGCAAGGAGTTCAGCAGAACCCTACCGTTTCACACCTCCTAGTATGTGAATAAGTATTAGCCTGTTTTTCTGGCTTCCCCCCACCCCTTCCTATTCATATAACTTATACCTTCTCTGGCAGGAATTTGACCCACCGGCTCTTTATCCTTCTGAAGATTCCTCCCAGGCATTGAGACATCTTAGTGACCACAGAGACTGAATTAATGAAAGATCAAAGAGTAGTTTAAACTGCATATTGGCGGCACAAGGCCATGATGTTTCACTGTCTTTCTCATCTTTGATATCTGAAGGCTCCTTCAAAATATTTAAAAGGGAAGATGAGAGTATCGAAACTTGAACTCCCCAGGAAATAAGCTTGGGCACGAGGGGGAGAGGTGGGGAGATTAAACAAAAAGCAGGGACCTGGCCATCACAGTTCTGGGTCAGACATGTCCAACAAAAACCTGGAGCAGCACTGCACTGGATTCATCACTTCTGCAATGTCATATACGTATGTCACCTTACCAAGTAGCCAACATTATCAAAGTCCAAAGATATCTAGTAGTGCCAGCTTGGATTTGATTCCTGCCCAAAAACCAGAAGTTTGGGACATCAGCACCAACCTGAAACCCAAATGTAAGGGATGCTGTATTGGAATAGGATAAATACATTTGAAGCGCAATATTATCACTTTTTGGTGTCCTTGCCAAGAAGTGCAAGGTTAGAAACTGGCAAGGTTGACAGTATATTTTTTCAGAACTGGCTAGAGTTCATTTACTAAGCAGTTTGGCAGATGGTCTTTAAAGGAAGCAATGATCATCTTTACCATCATGGGCAGGAGTGCTGATGTTTATCACTAAACTTCACCAGTTGAGAGGATTAGGAGTTCAAACTGCAGGTAGTGAGGAAGTTATTCCTCAGAGCTTCTCTTTGAAGAGTTAGTATTAATACCATCAAGCAATATGATACAGGGATATTTCTGATTCCAGAGTAGTTACTTTGGAAAAATCAGGGAGGACCTGACTGAGGCCCCAATACTTTATTTTTGCATACTTTGGAGTACCAAGATGCCTTGTTTAACTTGTTGCATTGCAGTTTTCCTCCAATAGAAAAAATGCTAACAAGCTATTCCTGCTTTCCAAGTTTATTACATTCTTCCTAAAGTTTAAGTGTAAACAGGGATGCATCTGTCTTCTATAGTGAAAAATAGAGCCTCAGAAAGTTATGATTTCACAAACTGTGCATGAATGCACACAAAATCATAGGACTGGAAGGGACCTTGAGAGATCATCTAGTCCAGTCCCCTGCACTCGTGGCAGCATTAAGTATTATCTAGACCACATGTGGAACATCAACATTCTGCCACAGAAGTTCTTAATGCAGAGTTAAAGTTTCTGAAATCTCAGTTATAATATTCCAATTCTAACTTAACAGTTGGTGTGTACTTCAAAGGGAATCATTCCAGAGACGGTGGCTGTAATTCACTATCACTATAGACAAGCTGCAGAATGGGTAGCTTTTGCAGCCTTATGGATCTCTACCCTACAGGATTCCTCCTATAAAAAGAGTGTTGAGGCCCAGATATTGGAGTATATTGTGATTGAGCTATTGGAGTATATTGTGATTGAGCTACACACTAGATTCTGGCCCTAAAGGCAGCATAAGTAGCTCTTGAAAGGCCTCCTTGTTTAGAGAATCATTCCGTGACATAGAAGCTGCTATGATGCAAACGTAGTGAAAAGTAGCCAGAGCAGAGGGGGCAAGATCAGCGCATCCATACACCTTGATGATCCTTAGGACTGTTGGTAGGCATTGTAACTGGGAGCAGCCTTCTGGCTACACCATGTTAAGCAAGAGGATGGGACAGGACACAGCCAGCGCATGTTCCATGAGTGTAGAGGCTACTCTGGCACTTACCTCCATAAGCCACACTATGTGGTGTTTGGCTATAGCCAAACATCTAGATTGACAAAGTTCTGGGAGGTCATAGTTTGTCTCTAATAGTGCCAACAAGACTAGAATAGAGTGTGCAAGAGAAGAAGTTTCTTGCTTGTCCAAAACTATACATTATGATGGATCCATGCAACATGACCCATATCCTTATATGTGATTAAGGCTGAACATTCTAAAGCAGTTGATTCCTCCAACTCAGAAAATAGAATGTAGGCTCTTTTAGTGTTTAATTATCCATTTATTTCACAACAGGTGAAGATATTGTAGTGTTTAAAAATTAGAAAAATAAACAAAGTTGATTGTATTTGTACAATCTTCAAACTCAGAGGGGCAAAAAGGTGAGATAGTCACTAATCTTTTCTAACAAGTATCTTCAGATAACAGCAATTATGTGAATGATCCTCACCAGCATGGCTGAGGAAAGTCCATTAAAAAGCCATTTTTGGTTGAAGCTCTAGGTAAGAGCACAGACTTCTAATACAGCAGATTAAAACAGACAACTACACAAATGAACCTTCTAAAACTAGGCAGAAGCACTAAGAAGCATTAGATTTCTCTTCTAAGGCAGCAAAAGACCGCTTTAGAACTCTGAGCTCATTAAAATGTGCCTTCTTGAGGCACGAGGCACAGACTGTAGAGGGTGTAGTGTTTTCAGCCACATCTTTAGAGAAGAGTTTATTTGAAATGTGATAAAAGTAGCTCTGAATTCTTGGCTGCACACACAAATGAGTTTTTAGGACCAGAATTCTAGGACAAATCTTTTCCTTCTGTCAGTCTACATTTTGAAGTAAGCTAGTAAACCTTCTTCCGGACAAGGCAATAGACAAATGCAAGGCTCTTCTAATTTAGAAGCCATATTTTGGAAGAAGTTTACATTGGCCACAGCAGAAGCATGTGCCCCTGTGCCATACTGTATTCCGTGACCACCCAAAAAACCCAAGATACTCCTCAGAATAAATACCTGTACACATCCAGAATAACATCTAGTAAGGAGCAACATGAGCTAAATTAGCACTGCACAATTCTAGTCGGTATCATACTGCTGCTGTCATTACTATGGCATGCAGGAGCACAGTAACAAATGAAACAATGTCCTTTATAGATTAAAATCCTGTATATATGAAACACCTAGATGAATACAACCGTGTGATTACTGGGCACTCATCTGCTGCTGCTAGTGTGGCTCAGAAAAGACTGCTTGACTATTGCCAACCACCTTTATGCACATCACCTTGTATTAAGATGACTGTGTAATGAAGCAGTGAACTATGAACCTGAAATCCATATTTTTACCTCAGAACTATTCCTGAATTTTGATTTCCAAATATGTATGTTTGTTTACTTAGCCAGCAAATAAAGACTGAATGTGACGGGGCTCCGCTCACCACACTGGTGCATCCTGCTGGCTGTCTTGGGAATTAGCTCCACAGGTCAGTATGCCTTCTCCAACTGGTGCCTCAACTGCCGTCACATCTGCTCTCGGACCCATGTCACTCCAAGGAATGCAGCATTCTCTTCATGATACAGCCCTGTGGCTGTGTCATGATCTGTGCTCCCCCCTTCCAGGGGCCCTGCAAGTCAACTGCCCAGCTACTTCCCACAGGGGCGACCGTAGTCAATTGTCCTGCCACTTCCCCAGTGGCAAGTGGAGGGGGGAAAGAGGAGACCCAGGCCCACCCACTACTCCAGGTCCCGACCCAGGAACCTGTAGATGGCAGACACGTGCAGAGTCCCCTCCAAATCCTCAGTACATTTCCTTGGGCCACTTCCCGATGGCCCCAGCTCCTTCTTAGCCCTTATCTCAGGGCCTCAGCATGCCAGATCTAGCAGCCAGCCAGGAGCTCACTCTTGCTCCCCTGTTCCTGCCCAGCATTGCTATGTCCAGGGTGCTAGCTTCCTTCCACCTGCAAGGCACCCAGTCCTCCCTCCTTGAGCTCCAGGAAATAACTGACTCTGCGCTGCCCTGTGGCTCTTTTTATATGGGCCTGCTGGGCCCTGATTGGCTGCTCCTCGCAGCCCCTCTCCTATTGGCTGCTTCTAACAGTCTCTTTAAGGCTCTAGTAACCCTTTGCATGCCAGTGTGGGGCAAAACCCCATCACACTGGGCACAATCACACTATTTTTAACTTGAATCCGACCACATAGAGATGAAGTACCAGGTTCTAAATTCCCTCCAAGGTTTGAAGAGAGACTGGTTTGACCAACATTGTAATAACTATACACTCAACTGCTGTGAATAAAAGTCTTGGACTGGCAAGTTCTTTGAATTTACTCCTCTCCGCATCTAATTTTGGATATACTCCTCAACTCTAAAAGGGAGTGTAAAACCCCAAGAACCTATCTCCATGGACAATTCAGATGTAAAAAAAGTGTCAAATTTTCAAAACATGCTTATGGGTACAAGCTAGGCAACTGTGTGTCTGCAAGCCAGATACATTCCCGTTTGCTATTATAATTACCATACTTTTACAGTGAAGTGTATGTGCAGAAATGAAGGCTCCAATAGATCAACTGCTAGTATAAAGTTGCTCAGGTAAGACAGGATTCAACAGCAGCTGTCCAAATAAGGGTCACCTTCCATTTGTGCCATAGGGATGGACTGAAAGAGGAAGTAGTCTTTAGATCTATGCAAGATTCGTTCAAGTCATTCCCCGAGAAGTGCACTAGAACAAGGAGTCAGTCTGACTTGCAAGATCTTTTAGGGTAAGACTTTTAGGTCTTTTCATTTTTTGTGTAGAACACCTGACAAAGTGGGCCTCAAACCTTTATTACTGGCCTCTAGATGCTACTGCAGTACAAATGAATAGTCCACAGATGCTTGTCAACATGTTATTTTTGAGGGGGGAGAGGGGAGGCAGAAAGTAGAGATTAACCTAGTCTATGGAAGGCAAAAGAAGTGGTGCCCCAGACACTTGAGATTCTTGAAGAAGTCACTGATTTATTACTGAAATTTTTCTGGGTCATTCAAGACACCAATGGTAGGCACCAAATAAGACTGGACAGGATACATTCCAACAGACACAGACAGCAACAGTGAGTTTTAAAAAAACAGTTTTGTATTGTTAAAATATGTGGTTTTATGTCTATTTTAGTACAAGTTTCGTGATATTGGGTTCACAGTCACTGATTGAGTGGGCAGTCAGTGTGAATTAGTATTGAAAAAGCAGATGCAGAGTCAGAACAAAATAGAGGTTAAGAGTACAAAGAACAAGCACATTTTGCTGATCTTTCTAATCTGGCCCTCAGAATGAGCTGAGAACACAATTACCCAATAAATACCATAGTCTGCTGCCTCAAATGTGTTGAACATATTTTCACATAAAAGGGAATATAAAAAATATTGCCACCACTTTGTAAGTATAACAAACATGATAAAATGGGTAGGAAAAAAAATGAGCAAATGACTGACTATCTACACACACAGAGGTTTGCAGAGAAGCCAGATCTGCAAGTCCACATTGTCATTTACGGAGAGGCACCTTCCATGTGTTAGTGCACATATCAGGGAAGAATTTTTCTACCTCAAACTAAACATGAGCATCTCCAGGACTGAACTGCTTTGTGTGCAATTCTAGAACGTCTCTCATTGGCAAAAGTATCTACTTCATTAATTAACAGATGGATTGACTGACAATTTATGGTACTTTCATGACATTCATTTATAGATTTAGCCATCCAATATCTTTCATTGGTGACTTGATTCTATTCATTTAAATGCTTACCCAGCTAACTCCGCTATGTAAACATACTTGAGTGCTGCATGGAAATTCTGCTTGGAAGTTGAAAGTAATTGTTGAGGCTGTTGGAACAAGAGTAAGAATAAGCAAAAACAAAGAGTCCATTCAGAACATATCTTGAGACATTTGTCATCAGGGCTTTACACACCATCTCAGGACAATAATGAAGTAATGAACAAATAGTTTACCAATTACTACTTGAATGCTTTGATTATGCTGCACCTTGGGACTTGGTCCCATTTCTTGCAGGATCTTAACAGCGTAACACTATGAATTCTAAGATACGCTGTTATTTGGCTGCTGCCCACAGTAGCACTGCTGCATTTATTTCTCAATCCCTGCAACAGCTGTAATACTTGGCAATTTCGGCAGTCCCTCCCCTCAGCTTTTAGAAATGCTTAGTGATAATATTGTGTTCTCATTCTCACATCACAAATGTGAAACATTTCCCACTAAAATGCAATTTAAAAATTGCTATTTCTTTATGCTATCTACAGTTATATCAATTTTCAAAGTGTTTGTAACAAATTGACATTTTTCAGTTACAATTGCAAAGAATGAGAAATACTGTAGTTGGACACTGAGTTTTTCAAAAAAGAGATAAATTAAATTCAACTCTTTTCCACAGTAGAAGTTGGACTCTGAGAAAGCAGCAGAACAATTCTTTACAGGAAAATAATCTTTTACCGGACCCTTCTCCAAGAGTGGGGTCCAGGCCTTTAAGAGGATGACAGGGCTTTGTGTGAACACACAGTCCCTGCCCCCTCCCCTTAAACAGCACCATCATCAGTAGACAAGGACAGCTGATGATCTAGCCACTAACCAGGTCACAATTATTTGTGGAATTTTTACAACAGCAGCTCTGGATTAATTCGTGTAGGTCTATACTTGTGACAGTGTGAAGAGTAAAGACACTGCACTCCCAGCAAACATCGGTCTAAAAGCAGAGTAGATGGAGAGGCACTGTTCAGGTGAGTAGAATGCCCTACACATCTGAATCCTAGTGTATATACCCTACATGGCTCTCTATATACCCAAGGATGACTCTCACATCTACACTACTATTTTTAGACGTGTAGTGTCCTGCCACCTCCCCACTGCCGGAGCTTTTCACCGCTGCTTCCCCCTTCCGGAACCTTTCACTGGGGCCTGTAGCTCCACATATACAGTACTACACGCCGCCACAAGCGTAGACAAGGTCTTTATTGTTCTACCACACAGCTTGTTGGAAGTAAAAGCAAAATTTTAAATGAGAAATTCCAAATGACCATAAAGAAAAGGTTACTTACCATAATGGGCAACTGCAGATTCACACCCTGGCAATGCAGAGCTTCAGAACCCCTGAAAAGTCCATGTTCCCCCATTTCCCCTCCCTATCCAACTCAATTCCTTCCACCAAATCTCAGAATCCAATGCTTTGGTGTAGAAGTCCAGGGAAGGGATTATGGCAGGTGAGTAGTTGTTAAGTATGCAGTGACAAAACTTACAGAAGGGTAACCTTCCTTAAGGTGCCCTCTGCCTATTCTCAGTGTGGGAGATTAGCTAGTTGTGGAAATCCCAAAATGGTGGGGTGAGGAGTTCTAATTAGACAGACTGTTGAACTGGCCTCCAAAAGCAAGCATTAGCCTCTGATGCCAGCCTAGGAGAGTAATACTGAGTACGAGTCAGGATAAAACTCATATCTTAACAGATTTCCAACACAGAGAAGTTGTGAAGGCAAGCCATATATGCTGCTTTAGTCCTAGCAGAGTGAACCTTAGTTCCATCAGGTACTGATATATTAGCAGAAGTGTAACAAGTTACAGTACATAACCTAATCCATTTAGACAGACATTGTGTCAAAACAAACTCCTCTCACATTGAACCCCATGTTTAAACAGTGTTTCTCAATGGCCAGTCCCTGAAATTTCCCTGACACAGTTTAGGAAGGCAGCAAGCCAGTCCCTGATATAAAAAAAGATGAGAAACACTAGGAGGAGATTCCTAAATGCCTTAGTCCTATCTGAATAGGAACTTAAAGCTCTTTTGACAGAGTATGGGGCACTGTGAATGTTTTTGGGATGAATGGCATGAGATCAACAGTCTGGTTAAAATGCAATTCAGATACTATTTTAGGGAGGAAATAAAACTGGGATGGGGATGTAGGAATAGGTGCTAACTAGGGCCTGTTAGAGACCTGACCAGATCCAAGACCTCTAGCCTCATCTGGATCCGAAGAGCAGACCCTCAGAGCCTTGCCTGTGTTACAAGTGCATTTTTAAACTGCCTTTAGTTAAACCACTGCAAACCTTGTGCGGACAATCTTGATCAATTTAAACCTGGTTTATAATCTTACTACTAATTTCAGCTAAATTGGTATCAGACTATTTAACACTATTTAAGTGTGTCCACACAGGTATTTTCACTTGTGTAACTGAAGTCAGTTAACACACACACACACACAGTTTAAGCCACAGCAACCTGTGCTAAGACAGAACTTAGGCAGAAGGATCTCCAAGTCTTCTCAACTAGTTTTCCAAGGTGTGTGTTGGGGCCGGGGCGAGCTAAGGGGATGAAATCAGTATTCCAAGTATCAGCCATTAGCTTGGCCTTCAAGTCATATCAGTCGTTGCGTATAGAAAAAAGGGACAAGAGACAGACTTCCTAAAATACAGTCCCCGTGGGGTTCAGAAAAGAAAACATCTGATGCTGTGCTCACCTCAGTCTGGAACAGTAACCATGCAGATTAAAGTACTACTAAAGAACTAAATTACAGACAACAGTTTAGCAAGAGTCACCAAAACATGAGAGGTTCCTGTATCTGAAATTAGTGGCCATGAAGGAGAAACTGAAGCAGTTGGGAGCTGCTTGTCTCCTAATTAACCTTGGCTATGAATGGCCAGTACTTCTCTCAGGCAGCCCCCAAACAGGCACCACTTTGTAGAAAGTTTCGAAACTCTGTCTCATCCATAGGTGCAGCCCAAAAATAAATATATACAGAGGCCACATCCAAGAAAAATTCACCTAGTTTTGGGTTTTTATTACAAACTGAGTTCAAGCCAAGTTCACAAAACTTTGCAAACCTTTTAACAAGCCTGGTCCAAACTATGGTTTGACTGTTTTCATCTGGATTTGCTATGTGTTTTAGGATCTCATTCGAGCCCTAAGAATATGTTTTTGCACACATGCAATCAAGGGCCAAAGTTCCCACAAGCTGTAACTGGATGACAGGGGATGGGTCACTCAATAAACTGCCCTTGTCTGTTCATTCCCTCTGAAGCATCTGGCACCAGCCACTGTCAAAAACAGGACACTGGGCTACACTGACTACTGGATGATGGAGATGCTAAAGGAGCACTCAAGAACTACAAGGGCATTGTGGAGAAACTAAATTAATTCTTTGTATCGGTCTTCACTGCTGATGATGTGAGGGAGATTCCCAAACCTGAGCCATTCTTTTAAGGTGACAAATTTGAGGAACTGTCCCAAACTGAGGTGTCATTAGGGGTGGTTTTGGAACAAATTGATAAACTAAAGAGTAATAAGTCACCAGGACCAGATGGTATTCACCCAAGAGTTCTGAAGGAACTCATATGTGAAAATGCAGAACTACTAACTGTGGTTTGTAACCTAACATTTAAATCAGCTTCTGTACCAAATGACTGGAGGATAGCTAATGTGACACTAATTTTTTAAAAGGGCTACAGAAGTGATCCCAGCAACTACAGGCCAGAAAACCTGACTTCAGTACCGGGCAAAGAGGTTGAAACTATAGTAAAGAATAAAATTGTCAGACACACAGATGAACATAATTTGTTGGGGAAGAGTCAACATGGTTTTTGTAAAGGGAAATCATGCCACACCAATCTACTAGGATTCTTTGAGAAGGTCAACAAGCACGTGGACAAGAGAGATCTAGTGGATATAGTGTGCTTTGATTTTCAGAAAGCTTTTGACAAGGTCCCTCACCAAAGGCTCTTCAGCAAAATAAGCTGTCATGGGATAAAGGGGAAGGTCCTCTCATGGATCGGTAACTGATTAAGAGAGAGGAAACAAAGGGTAGGAATAAACTGTCAGTTTTCAGAATGGAGAGAGGTAAATAGTGGTGTCCCCCAGGAGCCTGTACTGCACCAGTACTGTTCAACATATTCATAAATGATCTGGAAAAAGGGGTAGACAGTGAGGTGACAAAATTTGCAGATGATACAAAACTACTCAATATAGTTAAGTCTAGGGCAGACTATGAAGAGTTACAAAGGGCTAAATTAGATGTTACCACTCAAGAGAGAGATCTTGGAGTCATTGTGGATAGTTCTCTGAAAACAGTCACTCAATATTCAGCAGCAGTCAAAAAAGCTAACAGAATGTTGGGACACTTTAAGAAAGGGAAAGCTAATAAGATAGAAAATACCATATCACTTCGTATAAATCCATAGTATGCCCATATCTTGAATACTGCATGCAGATGTGGTCACAAAAAAGATATATTGAACTTGGAAAAGGTTCAGAAAAGGGCAACAAAAATTATTAGGGGTATGGAACAGCTTCTGTATGAGGAGAGATTAATACGATTGGGACTTTTTAGCTTGGAAAAGAGACAACTAAGGTCTATAAAATCATGACTGGTGTGGAGAAAGTAAGTAAGGGTGGGTTATTTACTCCTTCTCATAACACAAGAACTGGGGGGGGGGGGTGTCACCGAATGAAATCAACAGGCAGCAGGTTTAAAAAACAAACAAACAAAGGGAAGTATTTTTTCACACAATGCATAGTTAATATGTGGAACTCCTTGGCAGAGGATGTTGTGAAGGCAAAGACTATAACAGGGTTCAAAAAAGAACTAGATATATTCATGGAGGATAGGTCCATCAATGGCTATTAACCAGGATGGGCAGACATTGTGTCCCTAGCCTCTGTTTGCCAAAAGCTGGGAATGGACAACAAGGAACTGATCACTTGATGATTACCTGTTCTGTTCATTCCCTCAGGAGCACCTGGCATTGGCCATCATCGGAAGAAAGGATACTGGGCTAGATGGACCTTTGTATGGCCCAGTATGGCCGTTCTTATGTTCGGCCCAGTATTGCTGTTTCTATGTTCCCCACAGCTAATTTTTAACCATGAGCCTTAAATAGAAATGTATTCGAGACATTCAGCCCATAACCTCAGATTTCCCTTTGGGTGATCCGTAAATCTTTGTTAAATGAACAGATTTTAACCATGCTACTCACCATGCTGTGAAGACAGGTGGCGTGCAGGTCTTGCTGGCTGAAGGGATTTACCAATCAGTTTTTTAGTGTCCATTGTCTTTAACATTTTGAGGCTCCACACTTTAAAAAAGGAATCACATACATATAAAGCATTCAGCTACAGATAAGAGTGCAACATTATAACCTGCTTTTTCAAGAAAATCTTCCTTAGCTTCTTGACTGTACCAAGCTGCATTGTAAGGCACAAAAATGAAGAACATACTATACAAACAGCTTGGGAAAACAGTTCCTGGATTGGAAAACAAATATCTAGTCAATCGGTTTTAGAATGAGTATTCCATAAAGTCATTCTAGTCATAAATCTTAGAATTGCCTTTTTAATTACCTCAAAGAGCAGCTATCTTTGGGCTTAAGTATTTACTGGTAAGTGAAAATTCAAACTATGAGTTATTTCTGAACAACTCAAATGTTTGTATGATCCAGGATTTGCCCAAGATTTTTCCTAATGTCATGGATTCCATGAAGCGATGGGGCTAATAAAAGATGAGTACAAAGAAGGAGTTACTGAGCATTTGCTGAAGGTAGATCCCGTGCCACTCTACCACTCACTGCCTATACTCTACTTTTGTGTATGTGCCCACTCAGCAGACTTAATTTCAAAATATTTTGATTGTTTACTCAAAAAGCTGAAGCACACACATAATATAGTATTTGTTAGATTAAGCCGGCAATCACTGCCATTTTGGGCTGTACATGAAACATCAAATTACAGATCAGGCAAACAGCTCCTTTTTCTGTGTTCAATACTCAACACAACTAGAAAGACGAACAAGTTAGACAGACCTGAAAGTGCAACAAAATGCTAGAGAGGGGGTGACTAGACTGAATTATCACAGATTAAGAGTCCTAAACATATAGTTTGGTTAAGAAATAACTGGAGTTGGGAAAGATGAATATGGAAGCATATAACATAAAGTACATAAACAGTGAAGATGAAGAGGCTGGTTCATAGAGTACAGTTAAGAATAGTGCAGATGAAAAAAAAATGTTGGCTGAACATTAGAAAAAGTGCTACAGTGTTTCACAGCCTAATAGAACTCCAACAAGGAAAATTATAAAGCTAGCCTTGACAAACTACTGAGACATTTAAGAAACAATACTCCATTGGTAGGGAGATAGAAAGAAAAAATATTTCAGTTGATATGAAAGTGTTCAGTAAGATCAGTCTATGATGCTGGATAACAGGGAACTATATTTGTTACAGAATTTAGACACAAAACCAAAAACCAACATGGAAACTTGGTGTTAGAATCAATGGTAGACTCTGTTGGACAAAAACTGACCAAGAAAACTAGGATTTTGCTTTACAAAGCTACTCAAAGCGACATTTTTTTTTATCTAGCTATCTTAGTCTCCTGGACACGTCTCCTTTTTCACTGCAGTTGGTATGACTACAAGAAGGGAGGTGAAGGTAGTTTTCAATTAAGATAGCTTAAGCACAGTTGGTAAGCTCCCTTAAAAGTTATCTAAACAATTTAAATACCTTTACAGTCATGTTGTAGCTCAGGGCTTATCTACATGCAAAGTTGCATCACTTTAATATCACATCTTTGTTTAAACCAGGGCAATGGCATATTTAGATTGTGCCTTTGTCACCATGGCAGTTGAACCGGATAGCAAAGACACAAACTCGGTGGCAAAGGCACTGGAAGCTACCAGAGCCTCGGCTGGGGCAAGGATTCCCAAGCTCCCACTAGTGCAGCTGAATTGGTGGATATACCAGTGGTAATTTCTAAAATTCCCTACTTTGTCTTTAGCCCAGGGAATCTCATAGCTTGGTGAGAACTTTTCCTTCAAAGAAATAGAACAACAAAGGCAAACTTGGGGTGGTGTTTGCAACTGTAAAAATAAATAATAATAATAATAATTAAAAAAAAACTGTATTCTCCAAGGGACTATGCAACCCAAGGAAAGACTGTTGTAGTAGGGCAATCCAAAAGGAAAGTGATTAGGTGACTGGAACAATGGGAAAAAAACTAAAGCTGGATAGGGAATGGAAGGAGGACTGGAAGCAGGGAGGCTGTCCAAAAGTGTGATCCAGTTTCACTTCCAACAATCATTTGAAGTGGTATAACGTTAGTACTGTAAGTTCTAAATGCCAAGGATTTGTTAATCATCATTTTTGTACATGTTTAGTTATATACTCCCTGTTACAATGGTATGACTTCATTAGTTGTGCTACATTTCTAAACTTCGAGAGTTTTAAGTCCCCACATCTGTAACTACATTAGTGAAAGTTACAGTCAAGCATAAAAGTCATTTTAAATCCTCCTCCACTTATCACTTATGCACAGCACATTACACAATACTAACTCTCAAGAGAAACCTGAAGGCAAACTGACCTTGTATATGCCAAGACAATTATGGAGTCCAAAATTTAGGGGTTAACAGGCAAGTACAGGAAGAACAGATTGTCAAAGCATTTCACATATTTTTTAAATGAATGTGAAGACTACTTATAGATTTTGGTACCAATTTAGTATTTTATTACCCTGATATTCATCTATCAAAACCCATCAATTCAACAAAGATCCTAGAAGTTACCTGCAAAAAGAAAAAATTGGGTTTGACTGTTGTTTAATTACCTTGTGTATTTAAGATCTAAAAGGATTATAAAAGAAGATAAAGTTTTATTTTCCTACCTTTTTTCTTTTGAGATTAGAATTGAGGTTTTGTCTACACTGGAGGACAACTGGAGAGGTGGCAGGATTAGGATACCAGGTAAGGAGGAAGTGAAACCTGAGAGGATGCATTTTATTTTTATTCAGTTTGCTTAGAACTTTAGGGATTTTATTTACTTGGTATTTTAGCTAAATACTGAGAAACATTTAAGAGAAAGAGCATCTCTGCTTAAGATTCCACAACCCAAATCCTTCAGTTAAAGTCTGAGCAATCTCACAGTCCACAATTCAGCATTCAACAAGCTTTTAAGCAAAGCCTGCAACCACTAGACTTAGCACCTCCAGTATTTCTAAAATAAAAAGTTAGGCCACCCCTACAAAAAAAATTGTAGCCTTTAAGGCAATTAGTAATATTACAATAGTGCCTACAGGAACAAGCCAGGTTGGACCCAATTTGCTAGGGGCTTGCAGTTATGTAGCAAGATAATCTTTTGGGGGCAGGGGTTCTAACAACCGAAGCTCAAGACAAGAAGCAAATGGTGGATAAAACAAATAGGACTGGAGAAGATGGGCAGAAGACGACAAGGCAGACTGGTAATACAGTACTATTTGTTTTACTACACCATGCACAATTTGTAGCTTAGGCAGATCAGCAATAATAATCTTTTTACATCAAAGGTCAAAAAAAGCACAGTCATCTTCCCTCTCTTTGCAGATACCCTTCATAGTTGTTTTTGAAACGCACGTACACTGCGGTTCATCTTGAAAGGGTCACTCAACTTGATTTTTCTGACGTCAGCTAATTTTTTAAAGTTTGTTTTACCAGTGCAACACCTCAATAATGTGATGCTGATACAGAATAGAAGTGAATTTAGATATACACAGTGTATTGTTTACAGAACTCTTGGAGACCAGGAGAAAGCAAATCCAAGAGTGATTTTTTCTGGTTTAGCTTAAACAGTTTATAAAATGACAAACTAAGAGATCTAAACCAGAAAAAGGCACTCTGATTCCAGAATAAAGAAGTGTCCACACAGGGAGTTACATCATTATAACGGCAGAGCTTTAAATTGCCACACCCTACTTTATACTGGTCTGACTTCCCAGATTGACATTTCAGATGTTTTTAAAGGTTTGTCTAACTTGGACTTAGTGTGGGAACCTGTGAGAAGACTCAAGCATATTTCTTGAGCTCTTAACACCTTAACTGAAAAGGTCAAAGAGAAAAAATCCTTTAACCAAAATATAAAAATGTAACTCAAGTATGAATTAACAAAGAATTGAAGCTTCCCCACTGCTCTCCTGTCCTTTTCCTGGCTCTGTTAAAGTCTCCATTTCATTTCACTACATCTCCAAGTCATTGAATCTTCTAGCCTACAGGGCCTAAATTTCCACAGTTTTTTTGTTGTTGTTTTTTTTAAGCCCCTGAGGATGCAGTTGTCACCTGTCCAGGTTTTCCCAGGGCTGTCCCGGTTTTCCCAGGGCTGTCCCTTTTTAGATACAAGTGTCCCATGAAATATGAAAGGGTGCTCAGTACACACTAACAGCTGTTCAGTTTCATGGGCTCTGGATCATCTCAGAGGGGTCTGGTTTCGGTACGTCTAAGATAGCAACCCTCCCAGAGAGACCTTCTGTGCACATGACAGACAGGAGTCAGCCAGCTCTCTTCGCCCCCTCTGCAGATCGCGCCCCTCTTCTGACACAAGCTCTCAGCGTACCTGGCGCAGCTAGTCCAACACAGGGCAACGCCCGCTGCCTGCCCGCCCCTCGCCCTCTTATCGCCCCCCCCACTCTCGTTACCCCCTCCCATCGGCCTGCTCCCCGTTACCCGCCCCTCCCTCTACCCCCATCGCCCTCACACCGCAGCTCGGTCGCTCTTGTGCCACTGCCGCCCTGCGCGCACCTGCCCACAGCGAGCCGCCGGCGCCACACGGAAGTCGCCTACAGCAGCAGCGGCCTGCTGACTTCGCACTTTGTGGGACTGCGACCCGCGCGTGCGGGGCGGGGTCAGGCTCCACAAGGGGGGCGGAGCCTCCCCGTTAACCGTTTAACGGCTGCGCCGCGAGAGCCAGACAGTGCTCGAGGAATCCCGGAAGGGGCGGGACGTGGGCGCCAGGCACCATCCCCGCCATCAGCTTACCGCCCCCTCCTCTGGCCGTCAACCTAGTGCCAGCCCCAGATCTGCTCCTCCCCAGGCCCTGCCATCAGCCTCCTGCCCCCGCCCCTCCCCCCCACCGCCAGCCTACTGCCCCCTCCCCAGGCCCTGCCATCAGCCTACTGCCCCCCTCTCTGCCCCTCCCCCCACCGCCAGCCTACTGCCCCCTCCCCAGGCCTTGCCATCAGCCTAGTGCCCCCCTCTCTGCCCCTCCCCCCACCGCCAGCCTACTGCCCCCTCCCCAGGCCTTGCCATCAGCCTAGTGCCCCCCTGCCCCTCCCCAGGCCCTGCCATCACCCAAGTGCCCCCCACCGCCAGCCTACTGCCCCCTCCCCAGGCCCTGCCATCAGCCTACTGCCCCCCTCTCTGCCCCTCCCCACACCCTGCCCCCACCCTCTGTCTAGTGCCCCCTTACCTTCCCCTCTAGGGTTGCCAACGTTGTAATATTTAAAAACCGGACACTCCAGCAGGAGTGCCACCTGCCCTGCCCCTTCCCCCTGCGGCTCTGCCCCCACCTCTGCCCAGGTCAGGAGAGACTTGCCTGCGGAGCCGGGGCTGGGAGCTGCAGCCACCCGCCGCAGGTAGGCAGTAGGGTTGCCAACTTAATAGTCACACAAAACCGAACACCGTTGCTCCGCTCCCTGCCCTGCCCCTTCTTGGAAGCCTCACCCCTGCTTACTCCATCCCCCTCCCCCTGTCGCTCCCTCTCCCCACCCTCACTCACTTCTTTTCACAGGGCTGAGGTGCGGGAGGGGGTGAGGACTCCAGCTGGGGGTGTGGGCTCTGGGGTGCAGGAGGGGAGGGTCTGGGCTGTGGCTGAGCGGTTCAGGGTGCAGGAGGGGGCTCCAGGCTGGGGCACAGATGTGTGGGAGGGTGAGGGCTCTGGCTGGGGGTGCAGGCTCTGGGGTGGCGCTGAGGTGTTTGGGGTGTAGGAGGGTGCCCTGGCTGCCCCTATGCTTAGTTGCTGGAGTGGGGAACATGCCGCTGCTTCTGGGAGCCGGGCAGAGCCAAGGCAGGCAGGGAGCCTACCTTAGCCCTGCTGCACTGCTGCCTGGACTTTTAAAGGCCCAGTCAGTGCTGCTGACTGGAGCTGCCAGGGTCCCTTTTTGACCAGCTGTTCTGGTCAAAAATCAGGCACCTGGCAACCTTTTAGGAGGCAGCCCTGGCTAAGTACGGGCTGGTGCAGGTGATGACTCAGCACCTCCCCTGCCCCCAATAGCCAGACTTTGGGTGTCCAGTCAGTAGATGTGACCGGACATCATCAGGCCCCCTTTTTGACCAGACTTTCCAGTCAAAAACCAGGCACCTGGCCACCCTAAACTCCTGCCATTAGCCTAGTGCTGCTCCTCCCACTCTGCCCCTGCCCCCATCCTCAGTCTAGTGTTGCCCCCACTGTCAACTTAGAGCCATTCCTGCTCTGTCCCATATCAGCCTACTACCCTCCATCACTCTGTCCCCTCCCCTATTTCTTGTGTGGGATATTTTCTCTCCCGCTCCCGAATTGGGAAACAGAGGCAAGGAGTGCGGGAGACAGCTGTCCTATGGGGTGCAGGGATTAGGCTGTGTGTTGTGTGTCCCCCACCCAGGGGATACTGTGTCCCAAGTAGCTGCTGAGCCTTTTGCTTGGGGTGGGGTAGGTTGGTGGGTGGATTGGAAAAATAGAGAATTGCCAAGATCTGAGTAGGAGATTCATAAAGCAACATCTTCCCTCTTGAGAGGTGGAGAGCTTGTAGTTCTGCCAATCTCCTGCGTGCAAAAATCATGACATAGGCCTAAAATCATGAGATTTGTAAAAATAAACAAATGAGGGCAGGGCGCATTTTCTTTGCCCGGACGTTGCTACTCCACTAGGGTGGCTCTCACTTCAAGCTGCTCTCTGCACCCATGAGGGCTAGGAAGTTACTGGGTTTTAAATGCAAGTAGGGATTCTCATGCAATCTTGGTTCCACAGAACAAGCACAAATACCACAAGAAATATGTGCCAACACAGACTATAACCCCGTAGAGAAAGCCTTAAATTGATCTCTACGGAGGGAGTTTCTTCCACCCTCTCCCCATATCAGAGGAAGGATACCTAGGACATGTCTGCATGAGGGAGAGGCTATTTCCCATTTCACTACCTGCTTTATGGGACTCCTGGTAGGTCTCCCATGAGGGAGTCCCTCCATCCCTCTTACGTCCAGGAGTGAGGAAACTTGGAGATGGCTTGGCCTTTCCTTCCCAGTTATCACTACACAAGCCATAAAGTGTGATTTTTAAAGCCAATTAAGATATTCCTGTCAGTGGCTGGAGGGTATAGTGACAGGTTTTGAATGGAAACCACCACATCAAATTCATAGTACAGCAATATAAAACCAAAAAAAGGGAAAGCAAATTCAGTAATAATGTGAGTTGACAACAACATTCACCGGAGGGCATCTGTCCACTCATTGAATGACTAAACCTATAAACAGTGTGACATTAAGCCTTGATATGTCTTTTTTTATTTTCTTGCATAGGTCACTCTTCACATAGGCTGCACTCATCAATTCCTCAGGATGGGAATAGGGCAGGAACAGGTACATTTCCAATACAAATGCAAAACCTATTCTCCTTGTTCCTTGGTTGAAATCTCTGTTCTGATTCCATCCATTCTCCTACACCATAGAGAAGATATTGGAATGCCCATTAGCAGCTGGAGCATCACTCATCAAGAAGTGAAAATCTGTGTTACTCAAAAATTTAAAGTGCGATCTGCCAATCAACAACATCTCTTGCCAAATAGTTGTAGAAAAGCAAGTGATGTGACTATTTAGATATTTGTTAAATAGTTGTGGAGGATTAGAAGTGGGCCTTGGGCTTCTCATGTCTGCAAATGATAGCATCTTGTATATTTTTAAACTAAACAATTTTAAACTTTTGCATCAGGGATCAACAGGAGAAGAACCCTAGTGACACCCAATAAGGGCAGTACAAGACTTAGTGTTATTAACTTAAATTCTAGATAGTTATCCAATTTTTGCTTAAGTACTTTTATGCTATTTCACCAAACCACTTCAATAAGAAGTCCAGCTCAAGTGTTCATCACTGTCTTTGTTAAACAATGCCTCCTTACATTTTTTTTCTTATATTCCAAGTTTAAAATCTTGCCCCCTAAAGTTCTAGCCTATTCAGCAACCTCAAATAAATAACCAAACTTATTTTTGAAGAGTTTGCTAGTTTAAATACTTCAATCATGTCACTGCTTAATAATCTTTTCTCGTGACTGAATAATCCCAGTTTGTCTGTTTTATATGGAAATCTTGCCATTCCATTAAGAATCCTAGTTCTATGCTGTACTTTCTCAATTTAATTATATCTGTCTTCAGATAACGTGACCAAACCATGACGCTATGCTTCAGATATGGGCTACCGTAAAAAAGTCATAGAACAATATTCTCAGACCTCTCTTGACACAAGCCAATTTACTATTAGTTTCCTTTATTGCTGTTGCACAGTAGACCAAAAATTTAAATGTTGGCACATCCATTATATACAAATGCTTTTCCTTTATCATACTAACTAAATCATTTAATGCCACTTAAATTATATATGGGAATTATTTCTCCCCGTGTGCATCAATTTACGCTTAACCACATAATATTTACCTTGAGCCCAGTCACATAATCTATTAAGATTATTTTGTAAAACTACAGCCTTCTACGTTACCCACTTCCTTATCTAAATCACTAAACTAATTAACAATAATTAACAAATATATTAGCATACAGAAATATTAAATGTCATCTGATGCAGAGCCAATGGCGCAATCTAGATAAATGGTTGTCCTCCTTCCAATTTTTAAGAGGACAGTTCTGATTTTGATGGGGACGTCTCACATCCTGCAAACCAGACTTGCAAAATATTGACGCATTCCAAATTTCTTTATGGCAATGAATGGTAATGAAATGACATCAAGCTGTAATGATGTATACTTTAACATTTACATCCTTCTATCACGGCATCAGATGTGCCAAGGACTAGTTAAAATACTAGGAAAACCCACTTATGTATTTCATAAAGATCTACAGATCCCCACCAAACTGAGCAGAATGTACTGAGAAACAGAGTCCTTTTAAGCCCTTATTTTTATTTTCTGAAATAGGCATTTAAAAATTATTGGACTACAGTAGCATAGGCTTCGGCTACGACAACTATCCTGACAATTGCCTTGGCTGCTGTAGAATAGACCCATGACCATTAATTGGTCCTTACAGAACCCTGTTTATTCTGTGGTACTTGACCCAGAATCCACTCCTTGCCATAGAATTGTATTGAGAATTTAAGCTTTCACTGGAGGAAAAAAATAGTCCCTATCCCATGTAAATGTGGAGAAAACCTCCCAAATCTGAACCAAATGCAGACCAAGGTCTTCCTTAGGGCTTGTGTATACTATAAAGTTGTACACTTTAACTATATCAGTATAGTTAAAGTGATACTGTGGATACAATTATATTGGTATACAAGTGCTTTACAGCAGGATAGCTATTCCTGTATGGGAAGAGGGATAACTTAGTTGCTGCTGATAATATAAGCAAAAACATCACCTAGCATACTTATCCCACAATCCGAAACCATCCCCCATGTTTTCCTGATGCAGAAATTACCAGCTCTGGTGTTATGGCAGACATTTGCATTTTATTTTAGACTTCATATTATTACAATACATAACAATAGTCTAATAATCCCCATAACTTCTTATGTATACAATCATCAATTTGCAGAATTGATGGCAGTTCTATTTGAGGTAGAGTGTGAAATACTTTGTATCGTATAACATTACTGTTCAGTCTTCAGTATTTTTAATACTCAGATACATGGAGGTAAAAT